GCACCCAACAGCTTCATCTGTTCTATTTCCTGCAAGAACTCTTCTTTTTGTTCTTTGCTTGGATCATCTAGAAACACAAATGATGTAGTTAAATTCCTATTTGCTACGAATATAACATTTTAAAACCAGATTCAAAAATCAATCAGCCATCTATTAGGCTTTGCTTCAGTCACAGTCTGAGTACATTCCGACAGAAAATTCAATTGCGTTTCATGCTCAGGATTACCCGCTGTCCAATACAGGAATAATGGGACATGAAAACAACATTCTATGGCTGATTTGTTTTAATTATATCCACACTATAAAGGGAAATGGCTTAGTTGTGTCGTTCGTAATGTCACCTCAAGCTTAAGACTGGGGAGGTACAACTTGTGATCTGATTGCAAAAGACCAGATGCGACTGATCTGAACAGGCATCCATCTTATGATCAATTGACACCTGTCAAAATGAGGTATCCACTGACCAGTATCACGTGACCATATCACGGGCTTCAGTTTACAGTTCAATGAGGTCACGTTTTTTTTAGTTGACTGCTGACCAAGTGCTGGTTTTGGATTGGATTGCGGGCTCACTTGTTGAAAACAGGGCAGGATTGTTCGGAAGCCGGTTAACGCTAGCCCAGGATTAAAAGTTAACCGAATAATAACTTTTTCTTCTATACAAATGCTTTTTACTGCTTTGTTTTGTGTATATGGTGGTTATTAAAACTCAAAACAGAAGGCCAAACAATATACAGAAAACCTCACCGCAAAGTTACAAAACTCAAATCAAAATTCTACCTTTTCCTGGGTTAGCTTAAGCGGGCTCTGAACAACCCGGCCCAGGAGCTACGCTTTTAGGCTGGCCTAAATCTATATAATTATTATTAATCAGTAAATAAAACGTTCAACTGTTCAGTATTTTAATGCAACGGTAAGACTTCAAGAACAACAGTACGGGAATTTGTACTGCTCTAAAACCTATTTCAAAGCCTTTTAACAACGAAAAAGTCAGGAAGCTTTTGGAAAATTCATTATAATATTAATAAACAGTGCTGGGATTGCAGCCGATGTGTCCCCAGCCACGAGCAATGATAGGCGCCTGTATTCACAGGCTACTTTTTCTATGAAGAATCAAGACATTTTAAATGATGATGCATTGCATTTTAAGCTTGCAAGATCTGTGTTGAAGATCGCATCATTTGACTGCTGGAATTGACTGATGCATAAGTATTTGCATATCACTGTGAATTTTAAAAATCTCTTTCGGGTGTATTTTAAAGACACTGGACCTACCCAATTAGCAAGTTGTGTAACGATTCGCCCTTTTATACATGAT